ACACACACACTGACACACACACTAACACACACACTAACACACACACTAACACACACACTGACACACACTAACACACACACTAACACACACACTAACACACACACTAACACACACTAACACACACACACACACACTAACACACACACACTGACACACACACTAACACACACACTAACACACACACTAACACACACACTAACACACACACACTAACACACACACTAACACACACATTAACACACACACATTAACACACACACTAACACACACTAACACACACACACACTGACACACACACTGACACACACTAACACACACACACTAACACACACTAACACACACTAACACACACACACTAACACACACACACTAACACACACACACTAACACACACACACTAACACACACACTAACACACACACTAACACACACACTAACACACACACATTAACACACACACTAACACACACACTAACACACACACATTAACACACACACATTAACACACACACTAACACACACACTAACACACACACTAACACACACACTAACACACACACATTAACACACACACTAACACACACACTGACACACACACTAACACACACACTAACACACACACTAACACACACTAACACACACACTAACACACACACTAACACACACACACTAACACACACACTAACACACACACTAACACACACACATTAACACACACACTAACACACACACTAACACACACACTAACACACACACTAACACACACACACTAACACACACACACTAACACACACTAACACACACACACTAACACACACACACTGACACACACACAAGGGGGGTGGGAGGGGTCACCTACAGGTGCTACCCCCCGCCCCTCCCTCCTCTTCCTCTCCACTCGCTAGGAGCTACTGGCGCGGTTCCAGGATTCCCTCCACGCAGCCTCCATCTGCCCTGGGGCCAAGGGGGGTGGTGTTGGGGTGGGTGGGGTGGGTTAGGGTCTCCCCAATCCTCCACCCCTCGCGCCTCCTCCCCCCTTCCAACCCCTCTCTCTCTCATCTGTCCCTACCGCCAAACCCCAGTGCCGCAAGGGACTCTCGGCTCATGGGTTCGATCCCGACCCTGACGCCTGCTGCTGTATATTTGGAGTTTGCGGTGTCTCTCTCTCTCTCTCATCATCATGATGGCTAGGATATCTCGCCTGGTATGTTCGATCCCGACCCTGACGCCTGCTGCTGTATATGTGGAGTTTGCGGTGTCTCTCTCTCTCATCAGCATGATGGCTAGGAGATGTTAACTACCTCGCCTGGTATGGAGGAGGTCGTGGGTTCGATCCCGACCCTGACGCCTGCTGCTGCTGCTGTATATTTGGAGTTTGCGGTGTCTCTCCCTGTCTCTCTCTCTTCCCGTGGTCGCGTGGATTTTTCTCCGGGTTCTCCGGTCTTTTCTCTCCACATGTAGAAATTAACGTCACGCGTTTAGAGTATTTCGACCACTGCTATGAATTTGCACTCCATGATGAGCCACTTTCTTCGAGCTATCATTTGTTGATAGCCAGGTTGCTTCTGCAAAATAAGCTGTAAAAAAGCTCAGTGGGCCTTAGCTGGTAAAATAACAAAACATTTTATTTCATTTTTAGGACCCGGAGTTCGAACCCTAACCCAGGTGGATAGCAGTGATTGTCCCTCCACTGCCGACGTGGAATGCATGGCTCTGTGTGCCGTTCATTGTCACCCTTTCACGTTGAACTGGGGCTCCCCGTTAGTGTGCACGGAGTGCTCGTGCCAATGACACATCTGGCAAATCCCAGCAGCATCTGTTTCACGAGCGTCTGACCCTGCTGACGAGACGCACACAGTCTAAACGGGTCGGGGAGTGCTCTTTGCTCGCTCAAACAAATCGCGGCTTGACAACATTTGTCAGCGAGGGGCTGATGGACGAGACCGCGGCACGGCAAAAAACCAACGTGACAAGGAAGAGAGGTTTTCTTGTGTTCGCGTTTGCTGACAAAACCAAAACAGCCCCTCGATATTGCGAGAGCCGCAATTCACCGTGGTGGCGAATACGAGAGGGCGATCGTTCGTTAGCACGTAGCGCGTCATGAAGCGCGGGTTTTTGCCGTGCCCTGGACTCGACAGAGCGACGGGTCTCTCTGCTCGTGGGTCATCTCGTACTTGTGGCCGACACTGTCGGCTGTTCCATCCTCACCGTTTCCAAAGTTCAACCTGAACGGAGTTCAACATTGTGGCGACGTATTCACGTTCATCATTACCACCACCACCATCACCACCGTCGGCGTCACCGCGATCATTATTTAGACTGGAGGAATCCGATGAGCTCTGATGCTCTTTTTTTGTTTGTAAGGATGTTGAGCTTCTTTCGCACCGTACGTAGCCAACCGTACTAATCGGAGGTTGCGCCGGGGAAGGACAACAAACTCAACAAAATGTGATGTCCAGGAGGGTCATCATCAGCCAAGGTCAATCCACTGCTGGCTGGATGAAAGCCTCCGCCAACCCGCCACCATCTCTCGCAGTCACCCGACCACCAGAACACCAATCTGCCTTCTTCGTTTCCTTAGGTGCTGTGTCTCCCCGTAATATTTTTTTGACCATCGATCATCATCGACCATCGACCCTGCTGGTCATATTATTGGTATTTCCCTCGCTCTGTGCGGTAGTAGTTGTAGTGGTAGATGCGTTCCAAAACAAAGGGGGCGCGCACAAAGTGAATCCGCACGAGGAGACAGCTGTCTGCCGAGTACACACACAGCCCACACACAGTGCACAGAGTACACACACAGCCCACACACAGTGCACAGAGTACACACACAGCCCACACGCAGTACACACGCAGTACCCACACAGCCCACACACAGTGCACAGAGTACACACACAGCACACAGCCTACACACAGTACAAAGAGTACACACACAGCCCACACACAGTGCACAGAGTACACACACAGCCCACACGCAGTACACACGCAGTACACACACAGCCCACACGCAGTGCACAGAGTACACACACAGCACACAGCCCACACACAGTACAAAGAGTACACACACAGCCCACACACAGTGCACAGAGTACACACACAGCCCACACGCAGTACACACGCAGTACACACACAGCCCACATACAGTGCACAGAGTACACACAGCCCACACACAGTGCACAGAGTACACACACAGCCCACACGCAGTACACACGCAGTACACACACAGCACACAGCCTACACACAGTACAGAGAGTACACACGCAGCCCACACATAGCACACACACAGTACACACACACAGCCCAGAGCCTACACGCAGTACACACACAGCCCACACGCAGTACACACAGCACACACACAGCACACACAAGTACACACAGCACAGAGCACACACGCAGTACACACGCAGCACACGGTTGCTCCACGTCCGACGGCATAGCCGCCGCATAGCCGTGAATTCAAACCGCATATAGCGAATTTTGGGTGGAAATAGGCTACCGCGCATATAGTAGGCGACGTCGCACAAACCGAACCCGCCGAGAGCGAGTGAAGCCTGCACGTATGGTGCCCAGCCTACACACCCATACACACACCCATACACACACCCATACACACACACCCACACACACACACCCACACACACACCCACACGATGTTTGTCTTACGTTTTCTCTTAAATTCCAGAGAAGTAATGGAATGTATTGCAGTTGCCACCTTTGGCCGATGCCATCCCCCCACCTCGTCGAGTTAGGTGGGGGCTGTGTGCTGTGGGGGGTCTCTCTCTCTGCGATGCCGTTTCGCGGTGTGCCGCCCCAATGCGCTGTTCGGCGTGATGTCCGACGTTCCGCTGCACGTGCCGGTAGCTGCTGCTGCCGTTGCTGCTGCTGGCGCTACTTCATCAGGAACTGAATCAAGCAGCTGAGCCAATCAGCGTCGAGAACCGGCTGCAGACATCTCTAGGAGCCAGCAGCAGCAGGCAGCGCTCTGTAGAAGTGGAAATTCCACCTTCATATGGCCGGATCAGTCGTGGTATATATATTGAGTTTAAGAAGAAAATCAGGAGGTCTTTAAATTAAACAATTTGTAATGGAGGAGCGGTGGCGTGGTGGTTGGCGCACCACTCTATGATCCCGGAGACCTGAGTTCGATTTCCGATCATCGCTATCTGATTACCAATGGCGGTAATCACTGCCCCACCCCCCCTCTCTTCACCAACCCGTACTGACCGGCGTGGTGAAGTATAGTCTAAAAGGCTTCCATGAGTATTGGACACGCACGAGTTGCGCTTCTACACACGTGTACACAAGACAAAGATCCTCCAGATATCCTTCAACAGAGTGTTGGGGCAAGTGCTGTTAGCGAGCACCTACGAAGTTCGGCACGGCACACGAGGGGGTAGGTGGCCAGCACCACGCCCGGCTGCCTTTGTCTCCCCAGTGGAAATGTTTACACACAGCAACCAGGTACTCATTTGAGGCGGAGTCGACCTAGGGGAAGAGGCCCAGGACTGGGTTCAAATAATCGTCACTGGTGTTAGCCGCCGGGTTAGTAGCGTAGTGTAAACTAAAATTAAACTATTTTCTTACTTTAGCAGCTAAGGCCCACTGAGCTATATAGCTCTTGCTCAGAAGCGACCTGGCCACAAATGATAGCCCAATGAAGTGGCTTATTACGTGGAAATGTATAGCAGCCAAACACTCTAAAAACCCGTGGACCCGGAGAAAAAAAATCCACGTGGGGAGACCATGCAAAGTCCAAATTTACAGCAGTAGGCGTTAGGGTCGGGATCGAATCCACGATCTCCTGTATACCAGGAGAGGTAGTTAACATCCCCTAGCCACCGTGATGATGATGAGAGAGATAGACGCAATCTCCAAATTTACAGCAGTAGGCGTTAGGGTCGGGATCGAATCCACGACCTCCTGTATACCAGGCGAGGTAGTTAACATCTCTTAGCCACCGTGATGATGAAGCGTGCAGGGGCGCCTCTGCCGTCACTCACCTCTGCGGCCGCGATCACCGCAACCGCCGCTCCCAGGTTCTCGCGTCCCGCAGGTCTCACTCCCCAGGCGTCACTCCCCAGGCGTCACTCCCAGGTGTCACTCCCCAGGTGTCACTCCCCAGGTCTCACTCCCAGGTGTCACTCCCCAGGTCTCACTCCCCAGGCGTCACTCCCCAGGCGTCACTCCCCAGGTGTCACTCTCCAGGTGTCACTCCCCAGGTGTCACTCCCAGGCGTCACTCCCCAGGTCTCACTCCCCAGGCGTCACTCCCCAGGTGTCACTCCCCAGGCGTCACTCCCCAGGTCTCACTCCCCAGGTCTCACTCCCCAGGCGTCACTCCCCAGGTGTCACTCCACAGGCGTCACTCCCCAGGCGTCACTCCCCAGTTGTCACTCCCCAGGCGTCACTCCCCAGGTCTCACTCCCCAGGCGTCACTCCCCAGGCGTCACTCCCCAGGTGTCACTCCCCAGGCGTCACTCCCCAGGCGTCACTCCCCAGGTCTCACTCCCCAGGCGTCACTCCCAGGTCTCACTCCCCAGGCGTCACTCCCCAGGCGTCACTCCCCAGGCGTCACTCCCCAGGTGTCACTCCCTAGGTCTCACTCCCCAGGTCTCACTCCCCAGGCGTCACTCCCCAGGCGTCACTCCCCAGGCGTCACTCCCCAGGTCTCACTCCCCAGGTCTCACTCCCCAGGTGTCACTCCCCAGGCGTCTCAACTTCGCAATGAGGAAGTTCTTCTCTTGTGTGTCTGTTCCTCGGCGCGGTGGCGCTGTGTCCATCACAGGCGTAGAGCGGGTGGCGCTGTGTCCATCACAGGCGTGGAGCGGGTGGCGCTGTGTCCATCACAGGCGTGGAGCGGGCGGAGTTGCTCGGGGCGTGTCGGTGACGCTGGCGACGCTGGCGATGCGAGTCGCGCACAGCTCCGAGCGCGCTCTGCTGTGCGCGAGCGCGCGAGTTGTTATAAAGAGTTGAGCTGGGCCAGTGGTGGGGGGGGGGGAGAGGAGGGGAGGGAGGTGGGGGGAGGGAGCCGCGGGGAGAGAGTGGAGGGAGAGGAGCGGTGGAAGGAGGTCTATGGATGGATGAGGTGGCCAGGGAACGGGCGGTGGCGGCGGAGGGCGAGGGGGGGTTGCGATTTGGGTGGTGGTTGGAGAAGTTCTGCGGAGGATGGGGGAGGTAAGAGCCTCCTGATGGAATTGTCTAGCGGAGGAGGAGGAGGAGGGTGACACGTGGAGGAGTAGGAGGATAACACGAAGAGGAGCAAGAGGAGGAGGGAGACACCAGGAGGAGGAAGACACGTGGAGGCGGAGGAGGAGGAAGACACGTAGAGGAGAGAGACAGGAGGAGGGTGACACGTGGAGGAGGAGGAAGACACGTGAGGGAAGAGGAGGAAGACACGTGGGGGAGAGAGACACGAGGAGCAGGAGGATGGAGACGAGGAGGGAGACACGAGGAGGAGGCTGATGGAGGACGAGGATGCAGGAGTAGTAGTATCGAAGAAGTAGACGTAGCAGAAGTCGTGGAGTAGAATAAGTAATATGTGGGTGGGGGCTTCGGAGAGGGTTGGGTCAGGGGTCTGGGGTAGGGGGGGCTGCAGGGAACCCGGGGAAGCCGTGACGCAGTGGAACGAGAGAGAGGGGGGGGGGGGAGGAAACTCGCTGTTTACGCGCTCGTGAATGCGGTGGAAACCCGGCTTCCCCATCTCCCTCTCCACCCCCCTCGCTCTCTCTCCCCCCGACTCTCTCGCTCTCTCCCCTACGATTCCAGCCTCGCCCAAACAAACCGCACTACCCCGCCCACACTCATCTTCACCACCCACCCCAAAGACAAAGATCCCCCGTGTGGCCTTCAACAGACTGTTGGGGCAAGTGCTGCTAGCGAGGAGCACCGATGAAGGCCGGAACGGTATCACGAGGGGGTGGGTGGCCAGCACCACGCCCGGCCGCCTTTGTCTCCCCAGTGGCGATTTTTACACAGAGCACCAGCGACTCCTTTTGAGGCTGAGTCGGCCGGGTTCAGATAATCGTCACTGGGTGTTGGCCGTGAGCGGGAATCGAACTCGGGTCGCGAAGTTGGCCACCCATCATCGATCCGCTCATCTCATTTCCATCTTCGTTTATTACACACCGTAACAGGTGCCAGTTTAAGGCTGAGTCCACCTTGGGGAGGCCCAAGACCGGTTCAGATAATCGTCACTGGGTGTTGGCCGTGAGCGGGAATCGAACTCGGGTTAGCCGGGTTCGTAGCGCAGCGTAGCGCTGACCGCTGCGCCACCGCTCCCCACAGCGCGCTAACCCCCTCCCCCTTCAATCCCCCCGACTCTCCCGCCCCTCCAACATCTGCTGCGGGTTTCACTGCTCGAGTGTCAGGGCCGACCGTGGAATTCCGAGGCACTGCTTCGGCTCTCGCTTGCGGCGCTGTCTCAATGGAGCCTGCGCAGAGCCGCTGGGCTTAACGTTCAGCCCCCCCCGTCCCCCCCCCCCTCCTCTCTCTGAGCCACGACCTCAGCAGCCGCGCTCAGCATGCCCGTGAGTGGAGTCTGAGCCACGCCACTGACCGAGCCGCTCACTCACCGCGGCCTTCAAGAGCCAGGGAGCGATCTTGATTTTAAGCTTTCGTGACTGCAGGAATCACGACGTTTCGATCGCAACAACAAGACGGTCGCTTGTTGTTGTTGTTGCGACCGAAACGTCGTGATCTCTTATTTTGTCTACCGAGGTGACTTTACGGAAAGAGCCAAAGAGTACTGGAGCGGCTCAAGCTCTCTGGCTGAGCGGCGAGCCAGAGAGCCTGAGCCGCGACGCGGAACGCGGTGCTCGACTCCAGCCCCCCGGGGCTCGCACGCTGAGCCGACCGAGGCCACGCGGACTCGCGGTGGTCACGGCGGTGACCCTCGGCTCAGCGGTGGGGCGACCGTGAACTCAGCACATCGGACCTCCCGCGTGGATGAAATGACTGCCGCTCCGTGGGGGAAGTGAACAGCTGGTGATGCTTATTGGTATCCCTAACCCCCGCCGTAGGAATGTGGAATCTGCGAGCACTGTATATAGTCGCTTTGATAGCCTCCAACCCTAACAGGATTGCGAGGTGAGATCCGATCATAGGTAAGATCCGATTGCGGGGTGAGATCGGATTGCTGGGGAGAGATCGGTCCCTTCTACCTCTGCACTTCACTAGGGGTCAAGATGGAATCCCCACGACCACTCCAATCCCCACGACCACTCCAATCCCCACGACCACTCCAATCCCCACGACCACTCCAATCCCCACGACCACTCCAATCCCCACGACCACTCCAATCCCCACGACCACTCCAATCCCCACGACCACTCCAATCCCCACGATCACTCTAATCCCCACGACCACTCCAATCCCCAAGACCACTCCAATCCCCACGACCACTCCAATCCCCGCGACCACTCCAATCCCCACGACCACTCCAATCCCCACGACCACTCCAATCCCCACGACCACTCCAATCCCCACGACCACTCCAATCCCCGCGACCACTCCAATCCCCACGACCACTCCAATCCCCACGACCACTCCAATCCCCACGACCACTCCAATCCCCGCGACCACTCCAATCCCGGCCAACAACGCGGATGATGTTGGCGATTCTGCCGCTGCTGCTGCTGCTGCTGCGTTGGCAGCGACCTCTTCCTTCCCATCGTGGCCAGCCCGCAGAGTCTCAGCGATGCGCAGGTCGCCCCCGCTGCGAGATCTGGTGCAGATCTCGCAGCGAGTGGTGAGTGTTGGGGGGTGGTGGGTGAGTGGTACGGGAGAGGATTCGAGGTGAGAGTTGAGCCGCGCTGTGGGTGAGTATCGAGTGGTGAGTGGTCGGTGGGTGAGGGGTGGTGAGCGGCTGTCTTACCCAGTGCGTGGGTGCGCATGGTCGGGCTGGCTGCGAGATGTCGCCAAGTCGCGAGTCTATCCTGAAATATCAGCAACATCATCAGCGTCATTGTCATCAACACGGATACCAGCGGCAACACACAAAGCCAAAGATCCCCACCCCCGTGTAGCCTTTACCAAACTGTAGGGGGCAAGTGGTGTTAGCGAGCAGCACCTATGAAGGCCGGCACGGCACACGAGGGGGTGGGTGGTCAGCACCACGCCCGACCGCCTTTGTCTTCCCTGTGCTGATACTTTAAGCACCGCACCAGGTACTCATTTGAGGTTGAGTCGACCTAGGGGAGTTCCAGGACCGGTTCAGATAATCGTCACTGGTGTTGGCCGTGAGCGGAATATGAACCCGTATCGCCGAGTTCATAGCGCAGCGCGCTAACCGCTACACTACCGCTCCCCACACACACTGACACGCACACTAACACGCACACTGACACACATACTAACACACACACTGACGCACACACTGACACACACCAACACACACACTGACACACACACTAACACACACACTAACACACACTAACACACACACTAACACACACTAACACACACACACTAACACACACACTAACACACACTAACACACACACTAACACACACACACTAACACACACACTAACACACACACACTAACACACACACACTAACACACACACACTAACACACACACTAACACACACACTAACACACACACTAACACACACACACTAACACACACACACTAACACACACACACTAACACACACACTAACACACACACACTAACACACACACTGACACACACACTAACACACACACTAACACACACACTGACACACACACTAACACACACACTAACACACACACTAACACACACACTAACACACACACACTAACACACACACTAACACACACACTAACACACACTAACACACACACTAACACACACACTAACACACACACCAACACACACACCGACACACACTAACACACACTAACACACACACTAACACACACACACTAACACACACACAGACACACACACTAACACACACACTGACACACACACTAACACACACACTAACACACACACTAACACACACACTAACACACACACACTAACACACACTAACACACACACTAACACACACACTAACACACACACTAACACACACACTAACACACACACTAACACACACACCGACACACACTAACACACACTAACACACACACTAACACACACACTAACACACACACTAACACACACACTAACACACACACTGACACACACACTAACACACACACTAACACACACTAACACACACTAACACACACTAACACACACACTATCACACACACTAAC